ACTGTGAAGTTTTTCAAGAACGATAACTCTTACCTGCAATTACTATGTGTATATGGTTTTATTATAAAATGTCAATTTTTATATCGTGTATAGAGAATTAATTTTACACAATTTCAGCTTTTATTAAATTGATATACATTAATGCAGTACTAATCTATGTCAGTATCATTTTTAGTGACATTATTTTGTAAATATATTGTGTCTTTCATTCTTTTCAAAAATCACTCCTTTTTACATAAATTTCCACTTAAAATCCTTAAAATTCTGACAACCTATATTTTTTTTGTGGCAGAACATTTTCTTTACTTTAAAGCAATATAACTACAAAATTTGAAGAAATTCTACTGAGAAATGGTGACACAATCCTATTACCTTAAGTTATGTGGGCAAGAGAAAAAGTAATTTTCCCCAAAAATCGTTGCTACAGTGACTTCAGGGTTGAACCCCAGTGACCTGCACGGAAGGTCAGGAGCGTTAACAACTCATCCAGATCTTACCTTTGATCACTATAAGTATCCTTAGCCTTGGCAGAAAAATAAACGATCAGAGAGATATACACATACTATACTTCTAGTGTTGATATACACGTCTACAAAGTTTTATGACAAAAAAAATCGTTGTTGTGTTTTAGATCAGCACTACACTGTAAACGAGTCATCTGATTATAGTCACCTTTATAATATCACTTATGTGGATACTGAACCGAGAAAGCTCCACAACACAATTACCTAGTGTTGATATACAAACCCACAAAATGTGAAGAAACTCTTATGTCGTTCAGAAAATAAGGCTTCAGACAAGCATGCAGTTCAACTTGTTGACCTTTGATTCCTAACAACGAACTTGACCAACTGAGAAAGCTACAACACAAACCATCTACCTGGAAGTCATGTTATAACTTATAAGCATCAATGAGATTTGATTGGAAAAATGTGCAGCTGTCTAACTATCAGGTTATCATACAACATTAATCTAGCATTAAGTCCAGGAGGCCAACACATAAACTCTGGCTCAAAGTAAGGGGGTGGGCTTATTACAGGACAATGAAATTACATTTATTGTTATTTTTACTGAGTAACAATAAATATATATGTGTGAATTTATTGGCATAGCCTTATTGTAGGATAAATATGGTATAATCAAGGAGTAAAGTTTCTCATCTTAGACTACTTATATTGGTTAAGACATTGTGGTCATGACAAGGAAAGTTAACAAATAGACACATGGACATTATAAATACGTCTGTCCCATCAAAAATTGAGGTATAAATTAAAATACCATGGAATGTTAAAACAGATTACAGCTTTAGTTAAATTTGTTGGTGTGTTACGTCCTATTAACAGCTATGGTAATTTAAGGACGTGCCAGGTTTTGGATGTGGAGGTAGGCCAGAGTACCTGGGGGAGAAACCACCGACCTATAGCCAGTACCTGGTGACTGCCCAACTTAGGCCTCGAACCCGCAACCTAGTGGTGGAGGGCTAGTGGTCGCAGAATGTCAGACGCCTTACCTACTTGGCCACAGCTTAAGACTATGTTACCAGGCTAATGATCTTCATGACCAAATGTCAGCTAATTAGACATTTAAATTAAAACGTGGAAAAATTACAACTCTTCAGCAGTAATGACCAAATCGGATTATCAATTCATGTACAAAGGATACTGTAGGATTTATACAGACTCTAGCTGTCTTATCAAATCCTATATACATATACAGGCATTAGTTTGCAAGGACAAATCAAAGTAATGAATGTGTATATAGCCATATAAACTCATGCTGAAGGTTATTCGCACAGACAGATATAATTTGATTAACAGATATAAGATACTGTTATATTCTATTCTAAACAAAACTTTCAATTTTCTTCTTCAGTCCACATGGTAAATTTAACCAATCAAAGAAGGGATATGATCTGGACCTCTTGCCTAGCCTGATTGCCAAGCTGCAGGGCGCCCTGGGATTAGATTTGTTATCAGTATGGTGAACATTACATTTCGTTGTAATCTAACCGAAATTACTTTTTTCGAAGATTAAGCTGCAAATGAATATGCTACATGTGTAGTTGATTACACCAAAGCTACAATTAACTGTAGAAGCAATTAACAAGAAGTTCAATAGATGTCAACCCAATATAGGAGCAATGTTGCCACTGGTCGCCGATGGATCCTTGTCAGTTGTCAATAGCAATTCAATGCTGATGAGAGCAACCGGATCCTCGCTCTGTCGCTATGGAGCACCGTGATTACACGAGTCACACGCGGGGCCATGTGGAGGTCTCATCGACTATAGATTCTACCACTAATTTACTTTTTATTCCTTTGATTGGTCGTCAGGGTAACCAAATGAACATTTACAGTATAATGTACAGATCTAGATGCGGTTAACAATGTCTTTGTACCGATAAAACAATAAAGAACAAGAGGCAGGCAGGGCCTGCGTTTTTTATTGTTACATTTTATTGGGATAATTTTGTTTCATTAAGTCATCAACTGTCAGAAATAAGAAAATTTGTTCTGTTGTTAAACTATCAACGTAATAATTTTGCCCGTCTGCTGCTACATTAAGGCACTTTTGTCTTCTTGTAATGAGCTTCTCTAGTTTTATAAACAATAATTTTGTCTTACTGAGAAATTCTATTGGCACTTCCCGGAGACTTCAATGGAGCTTCCAGAGGAATCTCTACTGGATCTCCTAAGACAGGCTTATGGAGATTCCAGGAAATCTACTTTATTGGTGATTCCAGAGGAATCTCTACTGGATCTCCTAAGACAGGCTAATGGAGATTCCAGGAGATCTACTTTACTGGTACTTCCAAAGGAATCTCTACTGAAGCTCCAAAGACAGGCTAATGGAGATTCCAGGAGATCTACTTTATTGGCGATTCCAGAGGAATCTCTACTGGAGCTCCAAAGACAGGCTAATGGAGAGTCCAGGAGATCTACTTTATTGGTGATTCCAGAGGAATCTCTACTGGATCTCCTAAGTCAGGCTAATGGAAATTCGAGGAGATGTACTTTACTGGTGCTTCCAGAGGAATCTCTACTGAAGCTCCCAACAGACTTCTGGAGATTCCAGGAGATTTACGTTACTGGTGATTCCAGAGGAATCTCTACTGGAGCTCCAAAGACAGGCTAATGGAGATTCCAGGAGATCTACTTTATTGGTGATTCCAGAGGAATCTCTACTGGATCTCCTAAGTCAGGCTAATGGA